GTTTAGGTTGAAACAACAAATCTATCCAAGGTTTCGTCAGAGCTGGTCGACAAAATGAACGAGTTTGATGAAGGTTTGTTTACATTTTCCGACAGAATTTTATTGCAAATTTTCTACTTGTGAACATTTGTAAGCTGTTTTCAAAATAAGGATTTCGAATCATTTTAGTTGTTTCTGAATTAACTTTTTTTCTGCAGATCAAGCACATGCGGTGGCAGAAGCGTTCAAGGATGATGATGTTATTGGTGATTTTGAAGAAGAAAAAGAATTCGTAAGAAAAAGCCAACTTTTGGACATTCTTCAGTTTCACTAATTGTTCTTTGCAGATCGAAGAAGGTGAGCGACCCAAGGATGTTGATCTCACACTGCAAGGCTGGGGATGTTGGGTAGGACCGGGTATGACCGAAAGGAAGCGAAGGAAACAGTTTATCATCAAAGCGAAGCAGAAAAGGCGAAAAGATAAAAATCGCCCAGGAGTGATCATTAAAGAAACGCAGGAAAATGTAGGTTTTCACATTTTTAATATATTTCACTTTCGTTTTCATCCTGTTCCCTGCCTTACACTTGTCCCTGATAAATTATTTATAACATTTTCCCGGTCCTATGATTGATTGTGCAATTTTACGTAAATTCGAGAAAGTGATTATTTTCGAAAACCGGCAAAGAATGTGTTTCGAAAATCGATCAAGAATATGTGTTTCTCGAATGTTTTTTCAGACCATTGGCAAACTGCAGCCGAACAACCTGCCCTTCCCCTACACAAGTGTCACTGATTTCGAAGCGGTGGTTTCGCAACCAATCGGTAAGGAATGGAATCCTGTCAGTGTTACTATGGATCTCTGCAAACCGGCTGTGGTTACCCAGGTGAGGAGTACTTGAAGTACCCTACTTCTTTTGTAAATACTCGAAATATTTTCGACTTGGTATGAACGCTTACGTGATAAGGGGAAGACTTTATTATCATACATTTTTTATAAGATTTTTGATTCTGGAAACTTCTTATGCAAATGCTCTAAATTTTCAGGGTGGTCGATCGATACGACCGATAAAAAAGGATGAAGTTCTAGCCGGAAAGCTCGCCTTAGACGAAGAATAGATCATTGTTATTGTTGTTTGTTGTTGATTGTTATAAAACTGTTGTTGTCAAGCTGCAGAATTATATAAATAGAGAATTATCTCGCATTGTGTTTTGTTAGCAAGGTTTCCAACCTTGTCATATACCTTGTTTTTCCTTTTTCTTTTCTGGATTCCTGTTTGCTAGACTAATCCATCACAGACAAAATGGCAGACGATGATGACTATCAAGACATGGACAATGAAGATTTTGTTGATGATGATGTAGAAGATGTAGATTTGGAACAAGGAGAAGATGAACAGGACGACCATCGCATTGATATCATTAGCGTACGTTTTTTTTTCTCATATTTGAAGAGTACACATTTCTCAAAAAGGCCTGTTTAGGCAGAGAAAGGCACGGCATCAACAGATCGCGTGACGACACCATTTATGACGAAGTACGAGCGTGCAAGGGTTTTGGGAACACGTGCGCTGCAAATTGCTATGGGAGCACCAGTGATGGTGGAATTGGAAGGAGGTTAGTGCTAATCATCAAAATAATTTTGGGAAATCTTTCCCTTCCCAGCAAGCATTCGAGAAATCTGAGGCTGATAATTTTCAAAATTTTGAGAAGAATAGACTAAATATGTGGATTTTACAGCTTTGAAATAAAAACGTAAAAGCTATGATCAAAAGATAAAGAAGAGCACAAGGCAAATGTGTTCCAGAAACTGACCCATTGGAAATCGCTCGCAAAGAGCTCAAGCATCGCCGAATTCCGATCATCGTTCGCCGTTATCTACCCGACGGCTCATTTGAAGATTGGTCCGTTGATCAGCTTCATGTTACGGACTGGTAACTACAAGTAT